CTTCTCCAGAGCCAAAGAGATCTCTGGTGAAGATCAATCCTTCTCTCCACTGAGAAATTAAAGCAGCTGAACTAAAATTTTGTGAAAACCTCTTTGCACTGACTTCAACGCTGTCTTTGATTCAGCTGTTGTCACTTTATCTCAGGCACTGACTCTACCCAAAGGGGTGCACAACAGCATTTCCCTAACACAGCTGCCGAAAAGCAACAAGAGGGGCCGAGGTCCGCACTGAAGGAATCACACTGGTGCAGGGCAGCACACTTAATACTGAATTATGTAACAGCAAACATTCAATTCCTTTTGGGGAAAAAATAACAAAGAGACAATTCGAGCTTAATGAAGCACTTTCACAACTTTTCTGCAAAAACCTGTCATGGGCTGGGGGCGGTTCCACTCAAAACGTTTAACAAAAAAAATCCTGTTTCCTCAATAACTTGATTTTCCATTACAGGATAGTTTCCGTAGAAAATGAAACCACACAAAATCAGAGCCTGGAAGTCTGCGACAACTGCTACCTCATGTCAAAAAATACTGTCACCTCTTATACCCAATTAAAACAAAAGCAACTGCTGAATTAAGCCATTATCTCTGGAAACATGGAATATTTTAAAACTATTTAAGAGTTTGCCATATTTACTAGAAACTACATTACATCAGAAATGACTGAACGAAACGCATAAAAGAAATCCCCATATACGTAAAAAGATTCCACTTATCTGATACACATAGGAAAAAGAGGTCACTGTCATTTACCTGTACTTTGGATTTTCTTTCTTCTTCAGGGCTGAAACTACTGTTGGTGCTCAAATCTGAATCATTATGAATATAGTGAAGTGTAGAATCCATATTCTATTAAAAAAAAAGTCACACAAAATACACGAAAGGATTAAACACAAAACAAACATCAACATCAAGAAGTGCTGTCCTCACCTCAGGGTCTTTTTCTTAGATTAAAGGAATACATGTTTCAATATCAAATACAATTTTACTACAGCCTGAAATCAAAAAGTCTGTAAGGTAGATCTTTCTGCTTTCAATTTCAAACACAGGCTCCTCTTGTTCGGCTCCATTTTGGTTCTTATGGAAGGAAAATGACAGGAGAGCAGTACCTTCGAGACTGCATTAAGGAAAATGTAACCAACATATGGGTCACATTGCTTCTCCCCTGAAGGGAAAATGAGAAAACACCTGTAGAGGATTTTGTTGGATTTGTTCCTTTGGATCTGTGCTAGAAAAAGGTCAAAACAAAGCCACCCTCACACTTAAAGTAGAAACTGATGAGACTTATGCTGTTGCTCCTTCCCCAGAGGTGATTATTCCATTATCCTCTCCACAGATGAGCTTCACCTTGTAATAGAGTCCCAGCAGACCATGGCTGCTTACACTAGTCATTGCCCCTCTCAGCAGTTCTATTAAAATAATTTTTAGCAATCATTCAAGCATCCTGGCTACATATCCTGGCCTTGAAGATAAGGACTGAGACTCTGTTTCAGAACTCTACTGAGCGGCAGAGGTTTGATACGCTGTGATAAACTGTACTGCTGAGGGGATGCACTGTCACTTTCCGCACCAGTGGAGTTCCCCAAATACAATGGACTTTGCATAATCAAGCACGAATTTCAAGAAGTACATGATGAATATCTGAAAAGTAGATCAGGCTGCTGTGTGGTTGAACAGGACAAGGGCATTTTTGCTAGATATGAGCCAAGGTACCTATTCACAGATGCTGCAGGGCGAGCTCTCAGGGTCAGCACAAGCATGGAGAACATGCCTACTCTACCAGCTGTTCAGATCAGTTTGACAATGAGCGCTCTCCAGCAGACTATCAACTTCTTCAAAAAAGCCTCCAGGATACCATCTGTCTTCCTGGTTTGACTTCAGACAGTTGCTTTTTCCTCTCCCATGAGCTGCCTTCATCTAAGTACTGGGTTGTAATTTTAGTCGCTGAGGTATAATTACAGGTGATAACGAACAGGCAGAGCTGTGAGGCAATTGCGTGTCACTGGCACAGCAGCCCAAGTCACCCCTCGTGCTAATTGAGCCGCAGCAGCAAGAAGGTGTCAAAGAGCCAAGGAAAGAACAGATCTGCAAGTGACTCCGTAACTAAATGTGTCCAGCAGCATACAACTCCAACTTTAAAACCTCTAGAGGCTCTGAAAACCATCTCTGCAGGATTTTAGTTTGCCAGTCAATTCTTCACTCCTTCTTAGCCTTTTTTACAGAAAGGGAGATAACTTTCAGCATTGCCAGAAAGTCACCAGCTTTGACCACTTTTAAATCAAGAAATTATGAAGCAGCCAGCACAATCTAGCCACAGTGCTTTCCATGAGTTGCCCAGACGCATGGAACTGGAGGCTATTCATTTTTATTGTAGCAGAATGGATGACAAGACTCCCATTTCACAACCTCTGCTACCCTGGCTCTAAAAGGTTAAGTTTAAAAAAAAAAAAAAAAAAATTCTTTTATTGACTGAACTAAGTTGAACAACTGACCAAGAGAGATGTGAAGGTGGCTCAGTTTATTGACAACTAAATATACCAAGGGGTGTCACAGATGGCAACATTTTTACCCAGCCAGTTTTAAAGTCAAAAATGCATTCCAGAAAGGAAGAGCTTCAGTACAGAAGTGTCAGTATTTAAGTCAATGCAGTATCTCTATTCCTGCAGATGAAGTTCCATCTGTACTTTTTACATGTAACATGCACACACTCAACTGAGCATTGCAGAGAGCTAGGACATAAAAATTCAGCAGGGTTTAGCCTGAAAGCTTCTTGCATACCAAAGCAGTGAACCACCACCTCTGAGATGCAAAATCTTTGTCGTAGTCAAGGTTTCCTTTAGCTGCAGTGTAACGGGAGCTCCGTGGGCATGCTCCACAGACCCCTGCTCTGCGCAATGGGTTGCACACAAAGCCCACAGCACCAGGACAAGCTTCCCAACAGGGCAGCTGGCCCAAAGAAAGAGGCCGGTGGTCTCAGGGGTCCAGTCATCTCCTGGTATCCACCCTCTTCTTAAAGCGAGGTACTTGTGCCATACAAGAGTGGGCTGATTTTAGTCCAGTTTCCTTTCTCTTTCTTTTCCTTCCCTACTCCCTCTACCTCCAGGGGAAAAAAAAAAAAAAAAAAAAAAGTACCTAGGACTTGCACATGCACCCACTGGGAATACAACTTGGGGGATTTCTTGAGGCGTACATTCATTTATCAAACCTTACAGAGAGGATACAACCTAAAGAAAATAAAAATGGTGGCTCTTGAGGAAAAATAAAATAGCTACGCTCATCCTCAACAAACAAGCTTCATCTGTGTCCCAAAGTCTTATCTGTTCACTCTGTTACAACATTTCATCTGAATAGAGAATCTCTCTTTAACATGTAACATTAACTCCTTCAGGAGTCAATACAGCTGCAGAAGGACAAGAGCTATGCCAAGGCCTAAAAAAACAAACCAAAACAAAAACAAAGTAACAAAAAAAAAAACCCACTACACCACCACAAACCCACCACACACGCAAAAAAAAACCCCACCAACAATCCACCAGGAAAAAAAAAACACCTGTGAAAAATCAGAGCTCTCTTCACTGCTAGGGACAAGACTCCACTTGCTCAACAGATCACAGCTTGATTCCCAAATTCTAGGTCACCTCTATGATATCCTTCCACTTGTAAAATGAGGACTTGATTCAGCGCCAGTAACAAACAAGGAGCTGACAGACTAAAGGCATCCTTTTAAAGAGTAAAACTGAAACATGCAAAATCAACATACACCAGCAATGTGACGGGTTTGTAAACTTTCTGTCAGCACCATACTCTGTAAAGAAATAAAATGCAGGACAGGTCCCTCTGAACAACCACCACTCTCATCACCCCCAAAAATTAGAAGGGCAGAGGATACATCTACACTGTCATTTTACAGGTTAGCATTAGAAAGAAGTGACTACAACTGATCCTATGATAAAGAAACACATTGAGCCTGACATCAGGAAACAAACCAACCAACCACATTTGTAGCATTAAATTATGATTATATCTAAATAGCAGTACCCAAGTAAACGTCACATTCCTCCACTCTCCCTATGTTTTCTGCATACACGGTAGTCCAACAGCTTAGGTGAAAAGTTAATTACATGTCATCCAGAAACACTGCTCTAATTAAAGAGGGCTGAAAATATTGGCACTGGACTGATGTCAACTCCTAGACTTTTCAAAGACATTTATCAAAATTTCATCTGAAAATACCCTTTAGGCAATAGGATTCAACCAATCACTTGCTGTGGTTTTATGGAGCATATTTTGGAACCGTTGCTTTCTACATAGCTATCGCTTTTAATGCCACCAGAGCTTGTGGCACTATATGCACAGTACAGAACAGAAAACAGTATCATCGGACTGCAGTCAGGCAGGGGTGGGGTGCTGAAGAAAGAAGAGCAAAAACCTTTAAAATGTTACTGATTGCTAGAATCCACTTTCAGCAGCCCACACAACATTGCAGGTCCTGAACTTCTCTTATGCAGGCCAGTAAACTACTATAAAACATTTCAACAGGGAGCACA